AACTGGGGAAACTGAAAAAGATAGTGGCTTCAGGAAAAAGGATCAAAAATCTAAAAAAAAATGGAAATATTCAAATGCCTCGCACGTTGGGAGCCAAAATTGTAACAACTATTTTGCTTACCACAGGGTAAGAATATGGGGGACAAGATTGGGCAAACAAAATAATCGAAACAAGTGCATACGGACACTCAGTTGGTTGTTGGAGAGCTGGGTCGTGGATAAGTTGAAGATATTGGGGGTTGGATTGGGGCAACTACAAAAAAGGAAATAAAAGGTACTTATACGAATCTATTGGACAAACAGAATGAATATAAACGGAAACACCTCAAGAAATTTAATATAGGGCGCCACTTGAGGTGCCCAATTATACCTATTACAACCACTAGTTGTAACTAGGGAAATAATTGTATAACATCAAAAATATAAAAAAAATATCTTTTTCAAATAAAACTCAAAATAGATAAGAGAAACAAATTAAACATTTATTATTGTCTCAAACAGTTTTCAAAAATACAGCTTATAAAGCAATACAACTTACAGCAACAAAGGCATATTATATATAAATAGCTGTCCAATACAAATAAAAAGAACTTACATATCTGTTAACAAAAGGTTACAAAATTCTCTGAAATGGTTCCTAGTAGATAATGTGGCCAAATTTTATGGATATCCTTTTATAAAGAATAAAATTTAATCTTTACTACAAATCAAAATAGATTAAAAATCAAACTGTCATACGTCAAAACAAACATTTTTAAAACAGGATAAAATTATGACATGACAGTTTAAACCAGGCCCTAACATAATATAATTACAAATTTTTTTTTTAAATAATTTATAAAAGAAAGCAAATTTTGTCTTTTTAAAAGAAAATGTCTATTTTTACTTTAAAAATTAATAACGTAAATGTTACCTCAGTTCACACATGTTAACTTAAACTTTTGAACAACTGGCTAACTTCTGCGGGGTATCCAACTGCACATCAACAGAAAGCTTTATTGGAAGCTGAAACTGGCACATCCAAATCAAAACTGCTCCAATATTATTCTACATGAGGTGAAAAGGGCATCTCGGGAAGGAACTGGATTTCTCAAAAAACGAAAAACAAAGCAGGAACTAAACTTGTTCACTGCTCAAACATCATAAATCTTCGGCCAAAATAAAAACAGTGGTTACTGGTTACTCTTTCAGAAACGACATATTACTTAGAATGAAAATTCCACCATTTTGGCGAATGAATGCCGGTTTACCACATCATAATTAAAACGACCTTTCGCTGCGAGCAATTATTCATCACTGCCTTCGCTGACCCTCTCGATCTCAATCTCCGGATAGTAACCCCTCTTTTCCCCGCACAAAACCATTGCCATCTTGTCAAATCAACAAATTCTTTACTCAAATTCGTTCAAAACATCCGGCGTTACTGCGCTTTAGAAAAAATAATACCAAGATTGCAATATTTTTCTGGGAACGTTAAAGTTAAAAAGCCATAAATTGTTCTCTTTAGCAAATACGTTTTTATTTATTGAAGAATTATTGCGTATTTAAAAATCTCTACAGACAACACATTTCTAGCGTACCAGGGGCGTACTATATAGAATCGAATTTATATTATTATTTAGATATTAAATATAAAACGCTACAAACCTAGAGGTAAACCGACCAAACTGTAGATATTGGTCAGCGGAGAATCCTCATTGGATACGTGAGACACACACTCAGTATCCTCAAAAGTTGAATGTTTGGGCAGGTATTATAGGAGATCATATTATTGGTCATATATTTGTAGATGGTAATTCGACAGCAGAAAAATATTTAATCATGCGAAGAGACGATGTTCTTCCTCAGTTGGCTAACTTTTATCCCAATCCAATAGATCCGACTCTACCGCATGAAACTGTCTGGTTCCAGCAGGACGGTACAACACCCCATTATGCTTTAATGGTCAGAAATTACTTAAATCAAATCTTCTTCAATAAATGAATTGGACGAAGGGGTACTGTTGAGTGGTCTGCTAGATCTTACGCCTTTGGATTTGTTTTGTAGGGTTATATCAAGAACAAATTATATGCAACACAACCAACTAGCATTGAAGACCCTAAAGAAAGGATATCTAGAGAAATACGGAATATTTCACCTCAAACTTTAAACAAAGTTCGGGACGAGTTTTATAGGAGACTGTGTTATTGCCAACAACAAGATAGAGAACATTACGAGCACTTATTTTAATGTAATCCAATCAATTACCTCGTGTATTCTTTGAATTAATTGTCTTGAAGAAAGTTATACTTAATTTCAAAATTTCATTTTGTATTATTCATAATAGATACATGATATAGTTCGTTGAAATCAGGGTGTTAAGGAGCTTTTAAAAACATAAAAATATACAGGGTGTTTAAATTAAAATGCAGATTATGGACTATTACAGACCTATGTGGATCACCCTGTACATTAAAATTTATGTTTAAAAAGCCTACATTTAAAGTTAAAAGATAAGATATCTCAACGTTTTTTATTATTTTCTAAAATAAGAACGCAAACAATTTTATTCCGTACGTGATTTCCACAATATATATTTCTATGCATCTTGATTGATTTCCAATAGCCAAGATCGTTCTAATGGTGGTCATTTTCGCTACTGGAGAATAAATTTCTTCATAATCTGTTCCCTTCTCTTGTCCAAATCCTCGAACTACTAATCGAGCCTTATATTTATCACATTTACTGTCTTCAAAAGGTTTAAAAGTATATACCCATTTCGTATCCAAAATATTATTTCCAATAGGTTTTTTATCGACTATGTCCCAGGTACCATTTTTAGTTATCGAATCAATCTCCCTTTCGATTGCCTTAACCTAGCAATCTTTATCATCCCTTTCTTTTACTTCTTCAAATGACTGTGGCACATCTTCAACCAAACTCATAGCACATCTTCTAACCATTTTGGTGACTTTATATTTCTATTTCCTATACCTTCTGCGTGACTTGTGCTCTGTTCTTCATTTCTTACTTCTTCATTAATACTAACTTGATCTATTTTATTTCTGCGATATATGCTTGCTTACTCCATCAACTAAATTCTTTTTAATTAATTTTTCTAGTGATTTAAAATTTAAATGTGAAAACCTTTCATGCCATCTAATAAATTCTTTATTTTGGTCATTTTGGACAGAGTAACATTTTTGTTGAACTACTTTAAAATTGATTTTGTATAAACCATCTCTTTTACCTAATCCTATTAAACAACCATTCTTAATTAATTTTACAACACCATTTTTAAAAATTACACTAATCTGAGACATTTCCAATCGTTTTACACAAACTAAATTTTTTCGTAACTGTGGTACAATAAAAGCATTTTCAATTTTACATTCTACTTGTTGACCACATACATTGCTAAAAACATTAATATTTTCACTACCTACTGCAGGTAAATAGTTACCATTTTTTGCTAATGCTATATCTATAGGTTTACCCAAAATTACCATATCTGTAAATATACTTTTATCATTTAGTAAGTGATCAGTACATCCTGAATCAATCACAAATTATAAGTTATTCAGTGTTTCACTATTAACTACATTTTTACCTAACTCAGTTATAAAACATACCTTAGACACTTCATCAGTTATATCATCAATCTCATGTGACCTATCCTGCTGTTGGGTGAAATTGCTTCTATGCATTCCTCTGTTGTGTTGTAAGTTTCTCGTATCTCTGTAACTGTTACCTCTATTTGACCCATTTCCTCTAAAATCATCCTTGACTCTGAAAAGTTGATCTGAAATTGTTACCTCTATTTGATCCATTTCCTCTAAAATCATCCTGTATACCTCTTTGACTCTGAAAATTTGTAAATCTGCCAGACCCTCTTGGATAACTTGTGGATACTCCTGCTCGACATTCTCTTTTATAATGGCCTCTTTTTCCACACCTATAACAAGATGTGTCAACATCGAAAGCAACTTGTTCAGCACCAACTACTTGACTTGCTCTTGCACCCAGGCACCTCTTTTCTTCTTCACTCACTAACCTTTCCTTTACCTCTTTATATGATAGTACACCAGACGGTAAATTTTCGATAACTGTTACCACTGTTTCATAAGATTTTGGCAAAGTTAACAGAAAATTACATATTATATCTTGATCTTCAATTTTTACCCCAGTGGCTCTTAACTGTCTCAGGATTTCCTTAATAAATTCACCAATAAATCGTACCAATGACTCACATTCTTTCAATTTCATGGACAGCAACTTTCTTTTTAGGAACATTTGTGCTGGTAGCCCTATCTCTAATTTTGCATCGAAAAAACACATTGAACAATTATTGATTTGGCGTTATTGTTCATTTTTTGGAATTTTTTCATCTCGTTCTCGCTTAAACCTGTTGTAATTGTTTCGCCTTTTACACACTCTAATACTTCATTTTCTACCAAGATTATTTCCATCCGAAACTTCCATGATAATTAATTTTCACCTTTTAGGGCCTAATCAACGGCCTCAAACGGGTTAAAGAGATGCATGGATTGAAGTATTATAATATAATTATATTATTAATTTATAAAAAAAATTTTCGCAACCAAAAATACACATAAACCTCATTGACACATTCGGAAATGGATACAAATGAACTGCGCAAGTTTGCACAGAATAGTAGGCCAGGCTCTAGACGCCAGTACTTATTCGCTTCCAGTTAAACCAACTAGCCTGTATACTGTGGCTTATTTCTTGATTTAATGTCCGACTTTCCGTTATATACGGACCGAGGTATCTAAAATCGGCCATTTTTACCCCACCAATTTCTGTGCCTTTTAATTATATATACTCCATTTTCGACCTGCTTACCTTTCTTTTCGCGAAGATCATTTCTTTTCTCAAATATCATTCGCAAACAGCATTGATGAAGAAGCCCTCTTCCTTACCTTTTCTGTCACTGCCTTATCTCCTATCTTAGCTCTCGAGGAAAATAGAAAGTGTAATTATATTCTATTTATTTTTAGGTAACACACGAAGAAGAACTGACAAATGCTCTTAATAAGGCACTGGAAATCGGTTACCGCCATATCGACACAGCGGCTGTTTATAGAAACGAGCATATAATAGGAAAAGTCCTTAACGAGTGGATTTCATCTGGAAAAGTTAAAAGGGAAGATCTTTTTATCACCACAAAACTAGGACGTTTTAACTTTTTTCCAGACCAAGTAGAGAAAGCTCTAAATACGTCTTTACAAAAATTGCAGCTTGACTATGTAGATTTGTATTTGGCTCATTTTCCAGTTGCGACAAAACTAAATGAACAAAAGAAGGAAATCGTACAACCAACGGACATTATATCTGTTTGGAAAGTAAGTAATTTATTAGTACTATACTAAATAAATATAAATAATTAAGTTTAAATATTACAACGCATTCAGGCATCAAATATCCAAAACCCTTTCACGCTAGTAATAAAAAACATTCTCCAATAAAACAAAAATTATATTAAAATGGTGGGATTTCCTTAAGTAAAAGTTTCCAAAAGCAACCAAAGCCGCCGTTCGTATTTTGGGTTAAGGACTAAGGTTCATCTGTCTATTCCCCACGCCTAGATCGAGAACTCGAATGGAACCGTATCCCTCTTGATAATGGCTCCAAAATGGGTGCCAAAACGTCGAGTATTAAACTCTTAACGCGGTTCTTCCCGAGAACTTAGTAATTTTGTATAATGGTGTAAAATATGTAAACATACATATAGACTCGTGTATGGACGAAAGGACTAGAACTAGGATTTGTATAGAGGAAACTTTACTGGGTGCTGAAAAGAAACTTACACCTAATCGATAACAAACTGTTGGTATACAAAGTGGTTACAATGTGGTTAGCAGCACTGGGAATTAGCTAGCAAATCTTGCAACATGTTACAAAAATACAAAGATTTTAATTAAATTACTATTTATAACTGGGAATAAGCCACAATTAAAGATAAAAATACGTTTATTGACGTTTCAATTTCCAATTCGGAAATTGTTCTCAACATACAAACAGTAAATTAAACAAATTTTGTTTTTTGTTACATAGTGAAAAAATTCTTCTAATAATTTAATTTTATCTGACTCATTTATATTGACAATTCATTCATACATTATGCATTTTAAAGTAGACGACTTTAAAATGATATTGCCAATATTGTTGAGTTGCGCTCCTGGGACGACTTTACTTATAAGATAGTTCATTCGATTACATGAAATCAACTTTAACTTGAGAATATCCGTCAGAAAAAATCATGGCATGTAATTCGTCTTTAAAAAGACAAACACATGACATGATGACAGTAAAATTCTCCTGTTAGTGATTCCATAGTAAATTATGAGGGAAAAACCAGGAAAAAAACCTCATAATACTATCCCGACATTGTAAGTATTTGTTCGTGAATTTAGTTTACCTTCAACAAACATCAAAATTCTGATTTTATATGTTACGTTATTTAAAAAAAACATAAATGATGTATCCTCTATATGTTACTGACTTACTAATACTGGTATTTTCTTATTAATAACTTCCTCTTTCAATATTGGTAACCAGATCCTACTACATTCTGCCGAGGAATTTGCGACACAATTGGCCTCGTTTATCATAATTAGAGCCGCTTCTTTGATTTTTCTTTTTTTACCATCCGTTTCTTTTAGGACTATATTTGAATTATTCCATTGAACCCTACGTTCATTATCCCATGCGTGTTTACATATTTGAGATCTATCAAATTCTCTATTTTTAATATAAGATTGATGTTCACTTAATCTAACATTTAATGGCCTTGATGATTCACCTAAATAAAACTGATCGCATTCACAAGGTATTTTATAAATGCAATTCTTTGTCCTTTCTTGTTCATTGTTAGGTTTGGTTTTGGACAAAATAGATCTCAACGTGTTTGTTGTTTTGAATGTTGTTGAAATGTTGAATTTATTTCCTATCCTTTTAAGTTTATCTGATAATCCTTTTATGTACGGTATTGTTATTTTCCTCATATTATTACTTGTGTATGCTGTAGGATCTAAATTATGAAGGTAAACTAAATTCACGAACAAATACTTACAATGTCGGGATAGTATTATGAGGTTTTTTTCCTGGTTTTTCCCTCATAATTTACTATGGAATCACTAACAGGAGAATTTTACTATCATCATGTCATGTGTTTGTCTTTTTAAAGACGAATTACATGCTATGATTTTTTCTGACGGATATTCTCGAGTTAAAGTTGATTTCATGTAATCGAATGAACTATCTTATAAGTAAAGTCGTCCCAGGAGCGCAACTCAACAATATTGGCAATATCATTTTAAAGTCGTCTACTTTAAAATGCATAATGTATGTCTGAATTGTCAATATAAATGAGTCAGATAAAATTAAATTATTAGAAGAATTTTTTCACTATGTAACAAAAAACAAAATTTGTTTAATTTACTGTTTGTATTTTGAGAACGATTTCCGAATTGGAAATTGAAACGTCAATAAACGTATTTTTATCTTTAATTGTGGCTTATTCCCAGTTATAAATAGTAATTAATTTACAATGCCACAAGAAAATAGCTTCAGAACAATATTTTAATTAAAGTAGTAAACAAAAATAGAAGTTATCCAAATATCAACAGAGAGAAAAATGATAGGAGTCACTGTGATAGAAATAATTAGAAATGAACAGCAGAAAGATAACAAAAGTAATAGTTATAACAGAAAGAATTACAAAGATAAAATGTGATTATACAGTACATATTGCAAGAATAAAATATGAAATATAAAATGGAAAAATAATAAAATGGAGACTTTTGGTAGAAAAAGAAGAAGCGAGAACTCATAATGGGCAAACATGATGACCTAAAGAATATGGCAGCAAAATTGGTTGAAAAGAGCAAACAAGGGACAGGATAAGATCCAGAAGAAGAAAGGATTAAGGTTATTTGCCCTTAATTATTAACCTCAAATATAGTTTAAAAATATAATATAAACAAATTATATTTAATATAAAGATCCAAATACCCGTTGACCTAGGTAAAACATAAATAATAACATTAAAATGACATTGAGTCAAAAGTATTTAAAAATTTGTTGTATAAAGGTATATTATACATAGGTATAAATTTAGTACATATGAAGAAGTATAGTCATTGTGTAGCATGTATAAATTCCTTATAACCATCGAATATTCAGTGTATAAAATTTATTTGGTACGCCTCTGGTTGTTATGTATAAATTCCTTGAGTTATTGTTTATATGCAACACGTCGAAAAGAAATTTCACTGCCTAGTGAAATAATTCATATTTTACGTTTTAAATTCTGCAAATTTCAAACCAACGCCTTGTTAAACTTCAATTACCCTGAAAAGCGTCTTTGAAAAGAATTCTGAATGGCTCGCTGATAGGGCGATAGAGAGGGCAAGAGAGGAATCCGGTACAGAGAGAGTGAAGAAGGTCATATTTAGGTTGGTTTAAGATCTTGACGGGGAAAGAGGTTGGGTGTGTATTCTTCAAGGAACCGGCAAAATTTTTTATGTGGAGAGGTAAATTTTATACTCAAATGTAATGTGTCATTTTTTGTCTGAGTTCATCAGCGATTTGTTCGTATTGTGTTGTATGTCCACATGGTTTCAAGCACAGGCTTGAGTTTTTGAAAGGCCAAGATTGCGACAAAATAAACCAATGCCTAGCTTCCATGGTCTATTTTTTTGTCCCTTTTAATGTATTTTTTAGGAAAGAAAAGTTTATCTTTCTATCCATCAGGAAGATTTTTGTAAGCGGCGTCCAATTTAAATAGCTTAGTAACCTTCTTGTGTTTTGTTGTCCAGGAAATCCATGTAAGTACCTTTTTGATTCACTTTTTGTAGCTACCCCTTTATAGTTCCTCTTTTTTTATTTACTTACTCACTATCCAGTTCTCTAATCAAACCAAAAGTAGCCATTCGCAAACGTTCCGGTTTTTTTGCTTACAGTAGCCCAGCAACTTCTGTTCAAAGTTTTTAACCCCCTATAATGAATACCCTATGTGGTAAGCAATATAACCCCTACAATTGTAGTAATAAATTAAATTAATTACTAATAAATTAATTAATAAATACAGTATTGCTACAAAACGTTAGCTTGACCAAAGACAAAAATAAAGTAATATAGTGAATTGAAAAACATTCTTTATGAGTTAGTTAACTAAGCACACAAAAAAACCTCGCCTTAACACCAACCTATTTAATAATAAGTATGTTTATCTTTAGTGCCATAGTTTAAATTGATGGGCAACACTCAGAAGAAATGAAGATCTGTAGAGGAGTTAAACAGGGATGTGTTTTATCGCCACTTTTGTTTAACTTATATTATGAAGAAATTTTCCAAAGCACGCTCAATAATATCGAAGCGGGAGTCACCGTTAACAGAAAATTAATTAACAACTTATGATATGCAGATGACATTGTGATCATAGCAACGAGTATGGAAGATCTACAACATCTTATCGAAAGCTTGAGTATGAATAGTGCTGAGATGGGAATTACTAAAAACGCTAAAAAAACGAAGTACATGCTAATGATAAAAAGACCACAAAATATACATCACGTATTGACAATCAATGGTAACGTGATAGAACAAGTAGAAAAAAATCTGTACTTGGGAACTTTAATCAATAAAACCAATGATCATACTGTAGAAATAAACAGGCGAATAGAGATTGCCAGATCAGCATTTATACGAATGAAGCCACTCCTAACGTGCAAAAATCTAAATTTGGAGATCAGACTACGTACCGTTGGCTGTTATGTATTTTTAATATTATATGGAGCTGAGACTTGGGCATTAAAAAAAGGCAATTTACAAAGAATCGAGGCTTTTGAACTCTAGTTATACCGCAGAGTATTAATAATATCATGAACTGATAGAATTACAAATAAAGAAGTACTGAAGAGTGTTGGTAAGAAACAGAATTAATCACCACTATACAAACCAGAAAACTGGAATACATAGCCCACGTGATGAGGGGTCCAAAATATGAAATTTTGAGACTCCTAATACAGGGAAAGATTCAGGGAAGAAGATCTGTTGGCCGAAGGCAGAACTCATGGTTAAAGAATGTACGTGATTGGTATCAATGCAGATTGATTGATTTGTTTAGAGCAGCAAGTTCTAAAACAAAAATAGCCATTATGATTGCCAAATTCCGTAGGCAGACGGCACTCTAAGAAGAAGATGTTTATCCTTAAATAGGCTAAGGAAAAGAAAAAGAAATAATTATCAAACTGTTACAATAAGGTATTAATATTGATTATGTTATAATGTTGACAGCGGCTTCGCCAAAATTGAAAACAGCACCCTAATAAGATGTAGTTTCCCAATCATTGGTAATCGTTTAATCTTTTAGTCTCTTATACGAGTAAAAAGTTTTCCTGAGCACAAACAATTTTAACTTTGTCGCCCCTCTGTATATTTTATTTCATTCTAGAGCATTATATTTCCATGTTGTAGGTTTTTCTATGGATGGATATTTTTCTCTTAGAAAACAGCATCAAATCATTAGCGTATAAGCTTTTTCTCTTTTACTTTTGGTGCCGCTTCTAATGTAGGTACTGCTTGAGATGACTGCTGCAAATCTGTCTCTATTCAGTGCTTTTCTTAGTAGGGTTTGGAAGTCTAGTCCTGCCCAATTCTTGATAGCCAGGTCATGTGCTAGTGCTACGCTTTCGTTATGTTTCCTTCCATTATTAGTTGAAGAAAGTTGCGTGAAGAAATCTTGCTTAAAGAAAGAAAGTTGAAGAAATCTTGCTTTAATATTTCTCAAAAGTAATAACAGATCCTTACAGAGTTGTATTAATTTGAGCTTTATTTATTCAGTATGTGGGCTTTACCGATAAAGAAAAACTGAAGATAAAGTACTGACAGTCGAATTATTTATTATATTATTTTGACCTAGATTTGTAGTACAATGCTGTCTGATGAGTGCTTTGTGTTTAATATGCAACGTAATATGCATTTTAATTCAAATATAATGGTTGGGTTTACCAAGTTATACATTTATTTGCGTTTTATTTAATAAAATACAAATAAAAGATAAATAATTGTTACATAACTAAATTATTCTAATTGCAATTACAGAAATTAGAAGAACAAGTAACCGCAGGAAAAACCAAAACAATCGGTCTTTCCAATTTTAACATTTCACAAATTCAAAGGATACAAAAAATTGCTAAGATACAACCAGCTAATTTGCAAGTCGAGTTACATCCTTACTTTCAACAAAAGGAATTACGGGAATTTGCTAAAACAAATAATATTACCGTAACGGCATACTCTCCATTAGGAGCGCCTGGCCTTAACAAATATTTTAAGGAATCAAATAAACCGTAAGTATTCAAGTCTAATGAAATATTTTATTATTGTCATCTTTTTATATATTCGATTTAACAAAAATTTAAAAAAAAACACTCTATACACTTTCAAAAAATGTGTCATTTTTAATTAAAACTAGTCAATGTTTAACAAACAGTATATTACAGATTTACATATTACAAAAGTGAATATACGAAAGGCTAGAGGAGGATATAGTGAGACGCAGTTCGGGTTCCGACATGGAATGGGTACTCGAGAAGGACTATTTGCCATCAACATATTGATTCAGCGATGTCGGGATGTAAATGTTGATCTACACTTGTACTTTGTTGACTACGAAAAAGCTTTCGATAAAGTAAGACAGGAAAAACTAATATCAATACTTATGAACAAGTTATGGCACCAAAGTGCCATAGTTTAAATTGATGGGCAATACTTAGAAGAAATAAAGATCTGTAGAGGAGTTTGACAGGGATATATTTTATCGCCACTTTTGATTAACTTATATTCTGAAGAAATTTTTCAAAACACGCTCAATAATATCAAAGCGGGAGTTACCATTAACGAAAAATTAATTAATAACTTACGATATGCAGACGACACTGTGATCATAGCAACGAGTAAAGAAAGAAGATCTACAACATCTTATCGAAAGCTTACGTATAAATAGTGCTGAGACGGAAGTTACTACTACTACTACTAAGGATTTCCACAGTTTTCACTGTCTTCCCTCACTCAACCGTTTTCTCCCATTTTTGCCTGTCATTCCAGTCTCCATCTCGCAGAGTTCTTTTCTCCATAGCCCCGATGATTTCGTCTCTGAATGACCTTCGGGGTCTTCCTCTCTTTCTTCTTCCGATCGGGCTCCATTCTGTAATTTTGTTTATCCAGCGTCCTCTGTCCGCTCTTCTGACGTGGCCGTACCAGGATAGTCGCTTCTCATCTATATAGTCGATTATGTCTGATTGCACTCCCATTCTCCGCTTAATCTCTGCGTTTTCAATTCTGTCTCTTTTTGTAAGTCTACAGCTTCTCCTTAGGAACTCCATTTCTACTGCTCTTATCCTACCTCTATTTCTCTTGTTTATTGTCCAGTTTTTGGACCCATATGTCAGGATACATCTTGTCAGGGTATTATATATTCTCTTTTTTGTGTTTATCGTAATGTTCTTATCCCACAGCACTGAATTCAGTTATCTTATACAGTTTCTTGTTTGTCTTAGTCTGTTGTTTATATCTTCTTCTGTTGTTCCCTGGTTCGATATTATGGTTCCTAAATACTTGAATTTATCTGTTTCATTTACTTGTCTTCCCTCGTCTATCTCTAGGTTTCTCATATCCTTGTTTTCTGTTGTTAGGTATTCGGTTTTCTCTAAGTTTATTTCCATTCCGTTGTTTTTATATTCTTCTTCTAGTTTTCTGAGCATAAAGCTGAGATCTTCTTCATCTTGTGCGATGACTACTTGATCGTCGGCAAAACTTAAGGTGTATAGGTATTCGTCTCTTACTGGTATGCCCATTCCTTCCCACTTTCTCGTCCCTGGTTTGAGTGTCTTTTCCAAGAATATTTTAAACAGAGTAGGGGACGTAGCACAGCCTTGAAGAAGTCCTTTTGTCGTCTTAAATGGAATGTATTGGATTGTAATGGAATTACTATAAACGCTAAAAAGTGAAGTACATGCTAATTACAAAAACACCTCAAAATATACCTCAAATCATACCATCACCTATTGGCATTCAATGGTAACGTGATAGAACAAGTAGATACAATAAGACTAATAATACAGGGAAAGATTCAAGAAAGAAGATCTGTTGGCCGAAGGCAAAACTCATGGTTGAAGAATCTACGTGAAGGGTATCAATGCAGATCAATTAATTTGTTTAGAGCAGCAAGTTCAAAAATAAAAATATCCATTACGATTGCCAACCTCCGTAGGCACTAATACGGCACTCTAAGAAGAAGAATATTAGAGATGGTCTGTTCACAGTCAAGAAAAAGTGTGACTAAACAACTAGACGTGAACAGATCCTGATTTTGAAGTTCCTTTACCTCCGTTCTTTGACTTCTTATGATGCGCCATATTTCCCTTTGCAAACCGTAAAAATCATGCGCCATTTTTTTCGAAAAGCGTTCCCAGTGATCATTTTAGTAGATATAGTAGGCTGCTTTGAGCGCAACCCCTAAATTGCAACCCCTAAAATCGCAACCCCCGGTCGTAAGTTCCAAACGGCTTAACGTAGGATGACGTACGAGGGCTCGTTGGAAAGGGGATGAAAAATGGGGTTGAATGCAGTATGTGCCGTGCGCATCGGAGCATGCCAAAAGGTCATTATGGGGTATCTTCGTGTCTATTGGTCCGATCGTGACGTACGAGGGCTCGTTGGAAAGGGGACGAAAAATGGGGTTGAACGCAGTATGTGCCGTGCGCATAGGTCAATGCCAAAAGGTCATTATTGGGTATCTTCGTTTCTATTGGTCCGATCGGGGCGTACGAGGGCTCGTTGAAACGGGGAGAAAGCAGCGGGACAAAAAACAAAGATGGCGGCGTTGCCAAATGGGCGCTAAAACGTATCTTCGTTGCTATTGGTCTGATTTTGACGTATGAGGTGTCAAAGCGATGGATGTCACGTGACATTCGACGCAGGACGTGACATTTGTCACAGAACGTGACATTTGACGCAGGACGTGAAATGTCACGTGAAATGATGTGACATTCGACGTAGGACGTGACATTTGACGCAGGACATGTCATTTGACGCAGGATGTGACATTTATGTGACATTTGACATATATCGTACAATGTCACGTGAATTGACGTGACATTCGACGCAGAACGTGAATTGACGTGATATTCAACGCAGGACGTGACACGAGGGCTTGATGGAACGGGGATGAGACGGGGAATACTTTGACACAAAAAACAAAGATGGCGGCGTTGCCAAATGGGCGCTAAAACGTATCTTCGTTGCTATTGGTCTGATTTTGACGTATGAGGTGTCAAAGCACAGAAGCCATATCAACGATCAGTATGAACATTCTTCTTCTTCTTCTTTTCCGGACAGTGGCTAAGAGAACGTTGACGAAGGACGTGACACTCGACGCAGGACGTGACAGTTATGTGACATTCATCACAGAACGTTAAACGTCGTGAAATTTGACGCAGGAGGTGACAGGTATGTGACATTCAACACAGAACGTGAAATGTCTCGTGACATTTGACGCAGGACGTGACATTCGACGTAAGACGTGTCATTTATGTGGCATTCGACACAAAACGTGAAATGTCACGTGAATTGACGTGACATTCGACGCAGGACGTGACATTCGACGCAGGACGTGACATTTATGTGACATTCAACACAGGACGTGACATTCGACGTAAGACGTGTCATTTATGTGGCATTCGACACAAAACGTGAAATGTCACGTGAATTGACGTGACATTCGACGCAGGACGTGACATTCGACGCAGGACGTGACATTTATGCGACATTCGACACAAAACGTGAAATGTCACGTGAATTGACGTGACATTTGACGTGAAATGTAGGAATTACGTGACGTGTGACGTTGTGACGTGACGTTCGACATTTTAAAAGACAAAGACACAATAACAGAGGGAAACAGAGCGTAGCAGAGGGTAGCAGAGGTACACAGAGGGTAACAGAGCGTCATAACAGAGACATTCAGACGCCTTTAGTGACACATATGCAGCGGCACGAGGGAAATACCAGCGTAAAATCGTTTTATTCGACTTCGAATAAATTGCATTGTTATTATCGCCAACAGAACATCGAGGCTTATTCGTAATCATATTCATAACAATTCGGGTGATATACAAAATTAGCGAATACAAATGGTAAGTTGAGTACTATATTTTATCTACGGCATTTCGGGCAATATTTTATTTGTAGGTTGGTATTGTGCTTCGGTAAATATATATTTCCACCAACAATCCGTACCAGTTAAACTGACACTACAGCATCTCATACAAAATAGGTTAAATATAGAATTAAAAACAATTAACATAAAAAAACCTATATAAGTATCAACGTTAAATTCGACGATAATGCTTAGTCACGGTACAGCTGAAAGTAAAAACCATTGAAAAGCCACTCATAAATGTCAAATATGCTTTACAGAGGTACAATGCTAAACATATAATAAAACAATGTTAAATACTACCAAAATAAATACCTGCAAAAAAACATAAGCAAAATATAACGTGAAAATGCTAAAATATAATAAACTATGTAAACTACAATAAAAAAAAACACCCTACAAAGAAAGAAGAAGCAGAAAGAACGAAAAGCATATCTTAAAACAGAAGAGGTACTAATGTGTACAACAAGTAAAAAAAAGTAATAAACACGTACTGACAGATAGCAAATAACCTTCAAATAAAATCGAGATGCAATGAAGTAATAAAACACTTATTGATTGATAGGAACTAATAATCAAAGCAGTCAACATGCAATGAAAAATGCATTAAAAAACATCAAACTTATAAGAGGCATCCTGCAAAAAGTAATAAGCACCAACAGACTAATAGGAAATAATAATCAAAGCATTTGATATGCAATGAATATACATTAAAAAAAAAAAATCATCAAAATTATAAGGGGAAAGCTAATAAAATACAGTTAATACAATAAATCATAATGAAATATGCTAAAAACGAGACATGAGACAGAAAATTAGCGACAATTAACAAAGAACATAAAAAAAAAAAACGTTTACAAATAGCTTAGTACATATCCGATATACGTAATCTTTGAAAAACGAGACAAAAAGATGGAACTTCAGTGAAATATGTTAAAATACAATAAAACTATGTAAACTATAGTTAGAAAATTAATACCTACAAAGAAATAAGCTAAAAATATATATACCGAACAAACAAGTTCACAAAAGAACAAAGCCGCCTTGTAAATGTCGTGAAAAATATTAAAAAAATCATCAAAAACATACACATAAAATGTAAAAAATGGAGAAAGCAATCTAGCATTTAAC